GCGTGCCCGTCCTCTGCATCCTGGACATGGAGGGCAGCAGCGTCTCAGTGCTGGAGGGCATCCCGGAGCACCTCTCCCCTGGCCAGGTCAGGATGGGGGGCCCCGGGGAGACCCAGGGGGCCTCATCCTGGGGCTGTGGGATGAGCCCGGCTGTTGCACAGGCCCTGTGGTCCCCGGATGATCGTGGTGTGGTGTTCGTGGGCTGGTGGCATGAGCCCTTCCGCCTGGGGCTGAGTGCCTGCTCCAACAGGAGGTGGGTCCCCCCAGCACCCAGCACCGTGTCAGGACACCCACCCTGTGCTGGGTCAGCCACAGGGCTCCAGCCTGACCCATGCCTCCTCCCCAGGTCAGGAATTTTCCACTTGGACCTGGCCAGTGGGCACTGTGGTGAGCACCAGGGACGTGGAGGGTGCAGTGGCTCCCGGGGATCCCCAGGGTGCTGACCCCCTGGTGCCCGCAGAGCTGCTGTCGGCTGAGCACGCTGCCGCCTGCTCCCCCCGGCTGAGCCCCGATGGCCGGCGCCTGCTCTACCTGGAGGGGTGCCTGGGGGGGCCCCACCGGCAGTGCCTGCGCCTGCGCATGGTGAGCGGGAGCCCTGTGGGTGCCGGGCACAGCTGTGCCACCGGCATAGGACCCAACCCGGAGTGTCACAACTGCTTGCAGTGCCCGGCAGGGCAGGGAGTGGGTTCAGTTCCCAATCCCCCTGCCTCAGTTTCCCTGGTGGGGGCCCGTCCCCAACCACCAACTCTCCTCAGCTCACCTGGCTGACAAAGCAGACGGTGCCCGCGGGCACAACAAAGCGCTCGGGGGGCAGGCAGATCAGGGCCACACGCCTGTTCAGAGCAGCCGGCCTGCGGCGAGAGCAGTGGGACGCGGTGTCAGCCCAGCTGGCAGAGGGGCAAGGTGGGGGCTAGGGCGTGGCTGCTCACCTTGCCAGCTTCAGCATCACCAGCTGGGACTCGGAGGGGCCGCAGACAATCCGCGTGATGGGAATGGTCTGCTGGTCGGGGTCCCCAGGGGCAGGGTCCTTGAAGAGAGTCCCCAGCTGCACCTCGTAGCCTGACAGGTCGGCATCACTGTGGGACAGGGATGTGAGGGCACAGGGGGGTCCCAGCACCCCACATCCTGGCCTTGGCCTTACCAAGAGGAGAAACACTGGCGCGTGCTGATCACCCACTGCTCCTTCACCAGGGACCCCCCGCAGAAGTGCACCCCGGCCCTGTGGGGATGGGGGGGTGAGCTCCCGGGGCGGGGGGACGCTGGCTGCATGGTGGTGCAGGTGGGGCACCCTCTCACCGGTTGCGGATGCTGACGGTCCAGGGCGAGTTGCCAGGCTGGCCACCAACAATGCGTCCTTTCCACTGCAGCCTCTCGTCTCGCCGGCCACACTGCTCGAATGCCACCGCGTCTGCGGGCATGGTGGGCATCAGCTGGGGTCGTGCCACTGGCACCCACCCCACGGCACCCACCCAGCATCTGAGGGCCCCCACCTGTGTTCTCCAGGATGGAGGGCACCATGCTACCGGCTGTGGAAAGAAGGCAGAGCGGAGTGGCATCAGGTGGCACCCAGCCACCCTGGGGGGACCAAAACCACCCCGGGGGGGGCCAGGGATGCCTCTGGCTCTGCAGGGCTGTGGGTAGGGGCTCACAGCAGGGCTTGATGGCGCAGTAGTCAAAGGGGGTGCGGGGGTCCATGGTGTAGCACCAGGGGCCATGGCTGTCGTTGTCAGGGTTGCGGCAGTAGTTCTCCTCCAGGTGTGCCTCAGGGTGGGTGACAGGCGAGATCCTGTGGGGAGGAAGTCAACATTCCTGTCACCATCCCCGTCCCCATCCCCATCCCCACACATGACGCTCCCTCGCACACTCACTGGGGCACGTGGGGCACCTGGGCAGCCCACGGCTGGCAGGTGATGCCTTTGCGTGTCTTGCTGACGTGGCCGCGGTAGTGCTCGCCGTGGCCGTGGTAGCACTCTGGAGACAGGCAGGGAGGGCTGGCACCCCCGGCAGGCACCCCGGGGGAGGGTGCCTGGGGACGGCTCACCTTGGGTGCCCAGCTCATCAGGGCAGCGGCGGATGTGGAAGCAGAAGGCGATGCGGATGGTGGAGCGGGCAGTGAAGCACCACGGGGCCTCCGAGCCGTCAGGGTTGCGGCAGTAGTTCTCCTGTAGGTCCCTGGTGGCGGGGCCACAGCGGGGGGGGTGTGTCCCCCGCCAACTTGGCATCCGTGGGTGCTGCCCACTGCTGCCCTCCCCGAACACATCCTCCCTGCCCCCTTACTTGCACAGATACTTGTCAGGAGTGAAGTGGTGCCGGTGGGGCATCTGGGCATCCCAGCGCTGGCAGGGGATCCCGGACACGGTGACGTTCACCCGACCCCGGTAGCCTTCGCCCTTACCCCTGAAGCAGCTGGTGGTGACATTGCGGGGCCGTGGGCGTTTCTCTGCTTTGCGTGGCCGGAGAGGGGCATAGTGGCAGGGTTAGGGCAGCACCCGGGACACCCCAGTCCCAGCTGTGCAGTGACACCAGCAGGGACTTACTGCAGAGGCGGATGCGGCAGTACTCGCGCTCCCGCCCGGGGTCGGTGGTGTAGCACCAGGGCCGCTCGGAGCTGTCGGGGTTGCGGCAGTAGTTGTCGTCCAGGCCCTTGTCGGGGTACCTGGGCCAGAGACGGGGAGCGGCAGCTGAGGGTGGTACCACCCCCCTGACACCTGGCATGGTCGGGGTGGCTGTGCGCTGCCGAGGGTGAGGGTCTGGTACTTGTTGGGGTGGTAGGGGTGCTTGTGTGGGTGCTGCAGGTCCCAGCGCTGGCACTCTGTCCCCGACTCGGTGTGGTCCACGGTGCCACGGTACTCCTCCCCATTGCAGGTCATGCAGACGGCTGCCGACAGCCAGGGGGGCTCAGTGCAGGGGACAGACACACATGGCACAGGGCACCCCCAGGATGTGGCACTTACCGTCCTCACACTTCTTGATGCCACAGCTCTGGTGCCGGATGTTGGGGTCGACAGTGTAACACCACGGGCCCCGTTTGTCCTGGTCGGGGTTTCGGCAGTAATTCTCCTCCAGCCCATTGCGGGAGGATGGCAGGAACCTGCTGATAGCAGGGTGGGTAGGAGGGCTTCCGGGGAGCCCCTTGCCCCAGGGTGGGCACAGCCACAATGCTGTGCCACCCCTGGTCAGTGCCCCTCTCCCCATGCTGTCCCCATTGCCCCCACACTGTCCCCAGCCCATTCCCTGTTGCCCTACGCTGCCCAGGGCCACCAGCGGGTGTCACGGGGCAGCCAGAGAGACAGGGCCACCTGTGGTCATGGGGCGTTGTGGCTTGCCAGTGCTGGCAGCGCAGACCCTTCTCTGTCATGGCCCGCGTGCCACGGTAGCTGGAACCATCAGCCACGATGCAGTCCCGCAGGTAGTCTGAGCACAGCCGGGCACTGCATCAGAGCCCCGGGGCGAACCCAGGGCACACAGGCAGTGGAGCCCTGTGCCAGGTGGCCTGTGCCCGGTCTGTGGTGTCCCCGCACCCACCCATGACACCAGCCCACCTTTTTTCTGGTACAGGTCGTAGTGGATGTTTTTCTGCAGCTGGACATGAGGCGAGTGCTGGGTCCAGGACAGCAGCTGGCACAGCTGGCTCTGCTGGTCGTGGTGGAAAGCCCTGGGAGGCACAGCGGGAGCCTGGCGTGGCATCCTGCCGGGCCAGGACCCACCGGACCCGGGGGCACACAGGTGGCACCCAGCATCCAAGTGCACAGAGTGACCCCGATGTCGGCCCCTCGCACTCCCAC